TCTCATTATCTGGGGGCCCACTATGCATACAAAATTACTCAAATTAACCAATCAGCAGAGAACCCAGGAAAATAATTAACCCCATCCTACTTGACTCTTATAGAGTGCCAGCTTGCTGTAACCCAGTGCTGCCCTAGTGCTGGATACAATCCACTGTGACCCTGCCTAGCAGCCTTCTCTCATTTTAACCTGTGACAGGTCTGTCACCTCGTCTTTGATGCTTTTCCACCACCGCTCTAGAGCTGAGTCCCTGAGCTCCTCCTGCAGGCCTTGGGATGTATGGCTTCCGACATCAGGTGTGCTGGCCCCTGTGGACTGGTGGTGGATAGTGAGGCCTGGGGAATGCATGTGTTTTGATGTGTTTGGTGTTTAAAATAAGGCTTGGTAACACCAGGGGGCGCTGTAGTGTCGTGCTACTGTTTTCCTCCTGGATGCCTGTGCCAGGATGGGTACCACCTTGGTTTGGGGGAGGGTTGCCCTGGAGTATTTTGCTCCTGTTTGTTTAATCAGGTTTTGGAAACTCAGGCCAGCGGAAGCTGTTGTCCGTGACAATGTCAGGACTGCAGGTGTTAGTCCTGACTGTGTGTGTCTCTGGCTGTTTGCCTTGAGGACACCAGCTCTCCTCTCGGTTCGTATGAAGTAGGCATTGCTAAAAACCTGATCCTTTGGGGATGGTGTATGCGTGTTATTATTTAGTTTTGAAATCCTTTAAGGGAGGGAAAACGTGTTTAGTGTTTTTCCAGGACAGTCTCGTTATTCCTTTGCAAACCTGAACACTGACCTCTACGAGCTTGAAAACCTGAAACCTGCTTTCAACCTGAATCTTGACTCAGAGCTCGAAGGTGGCCCACTGAGTCCAAGTCCATGTGTTTCCTGGATTCCTGGTTCAGGCTAAGGGAAATGTGACGGGGGAATAACGACCCGTCGCCCTGGTCCAGAATATAAAGATCACTTCTACTACGGACAGCCAGCTAAAAGGAACGTTAGGGATGTAGAAAAAAAAAATTTATGTGTGTCTTTTTTAAAAAGGTACTTCAGCCCTAACCTGTTTTGCTCAGTGGATGGAGCATCGGCCCGGGTTCGATTCTGGTCAAGGGCATGTACCTTGGTTGCGGGCACGTACCTTGGTTGCGGGCACATCCCCAGTGGGGTTTGTGCAGGAGGCAACTGATCCATGTTTCTCTCTCATCGATGTTCCTAACTATCTCTCTCCCTTCCTCTCTGTAAGTAAATAATTAAAAAAATAAAATAAAAATAAAGACACTTCCTTTTTCTCCTTAATCGACCAGACAGTAAGCCTTTCTCAGCTTTCGGTTTGGGGAAATGAGTGACTAAGAGTCATTTTCTGATTCTTCTGTTAAGAAAAAAAAAAAAAGAAAAAAAAAAAGCCCGCGTGAAGCCAGCCCGGGGTAAGAGAGAGCACTCACAGGAAGACGCGTGCCCTTCAAAGGCGACTGTGGGTCCTAGCGCTGCTTCTGGGGCAAGCCTGGCAGAGCCTCGCAGACCTCCTTCAGAGCCACGTGCAGAGAGCAAGGTAAGTAGGGCGGAGGGGGCCGTGCGCAGGGCTCCGGGCCGGGGGCTGGTTTCTGACAGGTGGGATGACTCTGGAAGCACCGGGAGCTGCCAGCCGCTCACCCCCACCCATCACTCGGGCATTGCCGTCCGTCTAGTGCCCACAGGCGGCTCCTACCTGGGAGGTCACAGGCCATCTACCTGGACCCACACCCTCCAAGCCCTTGCCAGACGAGTACTCGTTTTTGCACACACCTGACCTATCTCCACACGCTTAGGATACATACACCATGTCCACTGGACGGATAAACTTCCCTGCTGCTTGCTTTTCTGTGGTCTTTCTTCCCAGGCCGAGAAAGATCACACAAATCAGAACTACAGAAGACTTTCAAACATGGACCAACGGTGTTTACTTTCGTGTGTTCTCCTGGTGATAAGTTCCTACTTCCTCAGCCTCTTTCACTGTAGTTCTTGAATTTTCCACTGGTGAAATGGTGCAGAAAGGCCAGAATTGTTTAAATGGAGTTGCTATTCATGGATTACATTATTTTTCTCTTATTTTTTTTCTGGAGACCCTGAGAGGCATCAGGTCTTCATCCTTTGTTTGCTGGAGCAAATCAAGGTCTCTCTTTCTCTCTCTCTCTTGAGAAACAGAGTTTGGGTGTTTGGGTGCGTGGCAGTGAGGGTGGGAGGCAGGACGTAGCTGTGCATTACTGAACAATGGGTAAAGGGTTTCAATAGGGTGCCGATAAGAAGGAAGCAAGAGGCGCTGGCCAGGTGGCTCTGTTGGTTGGAGAGTCTCCGTCCGGTACACCAAGAGATTGCGGATTTGGTTCCCAGCCTAGGTTACGGGTTTGATTCCCCGTTTGGGGTGCATAGAGGAGCCAACCAATCAATGTTTCTCTCTCACATTGATCTCTTTCTCAAATCAATAGAAACATATCTTCGGGTGATTTGTTTTGATATTTTTAAAAATATATTTATTGTTTTTTTTACAGAGAGGAAGGGAGAGAGGCATAGAGAGTTAGAAACATTGATGAGAGAGAAATTCTGATCAGCTGCCTCCTGCACACCTCCCACCAGGGATGTGCCTACAACCAAAGTACATGCCCTTGACCAGAATAGAACCTAAGACCCTTCAGTCCGCAGGCCGACGCTCTATGCATTGAACCAAACCGGTCAGGGCTCCTTAGGTGATTTTTTTTTTTTTAAAGAAAGCTGAATATAGTAGATAACGTTGTAATAACTATGCATGAGGCCAGGTAGGGACTTGAAATATTGGGAACCACTCTGAAGTATATGATCATGAAACTAATACACAATAATACTGAATGTAAACTATAATTGAAAAAGAAGAAGAAGAAGGAGGAGGAGGAGGAGGAGGAGGAGGAGGAGGAGGAGGAGGAGGAGGAGGAGGAGAAGAAGAAAGCCAGGGGAATTGGCCTTGAGTCAGAAAGCCCTCATCCCTGAATTGCTCTGATTTACACATGACATGTGTGTAACTTTCAGAAGGTTTTGACCTCTTCATCTGCCAATTTAGATAGGAAACAAGATAGTTGGGGAGGTTGAGATTTTATGTCTGGCTTTGATGTGCCTTTGCCAGATCTGCCGTACCAATTCCTATTCTGATAGGATTGATTTTCATATATGGTTTTCATGGAAAGACCAAAAATTCCCCCCAGTTTACCCAGCTGAGTACTGTAACCTTCCGAGGGGCTGTGAGAACAGATGTGTGTGTGGTGTGTTAGTGTCAAACTGGCTGGGGGAGGCCAAGCATGTTCTCACCTGAGATGATGCTCTAGAGCCGTGGTCAGCAAACCGCGGCTCACAAGCCACATGCGGCTCTTTGGCCCCTGGAGTGTGGCTCTGCCACAAAATACCATGGCCAGGGCGAGTCTATTTTGAAGAAATGATGTTAGAAGTTTAAAAAATTTGGCTCTCAAAAGAAATTTCAATCATTGTCCTGTTGATGTTTGGCTCTGTGGACTAATGAGTTTGCCGGCCACTGCTCTAGAACAACCATGAAACTGGGCAGTGGTGCACTGGAGCCCACTGGCACCAACTCTCATGAGCTGATTGTTAAACAGGGATTTTGTGAGGCAGTCGTAGCTTGATCTTGGCCATGACAGGAGTACTTGCATCATGCATGGAAACCAGAAAAATTCGTAAGTCAGAGCCCTCCGATCTCCAAACCCTGCAGACTTCATTTACGAGCATATCACTGGGACTTGGAGCCGGAAGAGTAAGTTCTGAACAGAGCTGTGTGGCCTTCAGAAGTCACTTAACCTCTCTGAACCTATCATGAGTGATCTACACCATGGGGTTCCGTATGGGTGGTTGGCTCAGAGTGCCGGATTGTTGTTGGAATGGTGGGGTGCTGGGACAGGAGCATTGGACTGGGACAATACCAACGAACATGGTTTGGAATCTATAGAGTGCAAAGCATACAGGAGGAATTAGAGTTTTTAAAAATATATATTTTATTGATTTTTTTTTTTTTTTTACAGAGAGGAAGCTTCTGAAGAGGGATAGTTAGAAACATCAGTGAGAGAGAAACATCGATCAGCTGCCTCCTGCACACCCTCATTGGGGATATGCCCACAACCAAGGTACATGCCCTGACAAGAATCGAACCTGGGGCCCTTGAGTCCACAGACCGACGCTCTATCTACTGAGCCAAACCGGCCTCGGTGGAATTAGAATTTTTATATAGAGCCATGGTCAGTATGACTCAGTTGGTTAGAGCATCGTTCTGTCCACCAAAAGGGTTGAGGGTTCGATTCCAGGTTGGGGTACATACCTAGGTTGTGGGTTTGATCCCTAGTCAGGGCTCCTACAGGAGGCAATTCATTGATATCTGTCTCTCTCTCTCCTCTCTTCCTTCCTTCCCTCTCTGCAGATATAAGAATATGTCCTTGGGTAAGGATTAAATTTTTTAAAATTTTATATATAAAGGCAGGTGATCAACCTTCTGCCTTCCTTTTAGCTTAATGATTATCTGAGCAATTACTGATTCTTTGGAGTTACAATCTAAAGGGGCAATATGGATAGATTTTTAAATCTCGTTTTTTCTTCCTTTATTTATTTATTTTATTTTATGTGGGAAAGGCCTTGGGTGCAGCGCTGTTGGGGATAGCCACTGGTCTTTTCCTTCCTGCAAGTGATCTCAGTAACCCCGGACTACCTTTTAGAAACCTGTCTTCAGCAGAGGGCTAGGAACAGTGGCAGAGCTGGAATCTGGGACCTGTCTGACTCCCAAGGGCAGGATTATTTCATTTGGCTGCGCTGCCCTCCGAGGGACTGAGCCCTTCGCCTTGGGAAGGTGGGGAGGATGTAGAACGTTCGGAGCCACACATTATGCCGGCGTTCCCTGCCTTCAGCCCTGCTGTGCTTTGTTTTTGCTCTTACCCTGCTCTTGTGTGCCCTTCTCCTCGCTAGCTTCCTCCGGTTGGCCTCAGACCTGCCTCGGGGAGCCTGTCGATCCGAAAATGAACACCACGGACACCACAGACACCACAGACCCCACCCTCACGGATTACTACAACAATTACTATCTCGCCGACTCTTTCCCCGAGCCTTGCAAGAAACAGAGCGTCAAGAAATTTGGGGGCCTCTTCCTGCCCCCCCTCTACCTCTTGGTCTTCCTGTTTGGGCTGCTTGGAAACGCCTTGGTGGTCCTGGTCCTGTTTAAGTACAAGCGCCTCCGGTCCATGACGGACGTGTACCTGCTCAACCTCGCCATCTCCGACCTGCTCTTCGTGCTCTCCCTCCCGTTCTGGGCCTACTACGCGGCCGACCAGTGGGTGTTCGGACTGGGTCTCTGCAAGATCGTCTCCTGGATCTACCTGGTGGGCTTTTACAGCGGCATCTTCTTCATCATGCTCATGAGCATCGACCGGTACCTGGCGATCGTGCACGTGGTGTTCTCCCTGAGAGCCAGGACCGTGACCTACGGGGTCATCATCAGCTTGGCCACGTGGTCGGTGGCCATCTCCGTCTCCCTGCCGGGCCTCCTCTTCAGCACGTGCTACACGGAGGGCGGCCACGTCTACTGCAAGTACACGTTCCACGCCAAGCGGTGGAAGGTCCTGAGCGCCCTGGAGGTCAACGTGCTGGGCCTGATGGTCCCCTCGGCGATCATGCTGTTCTGCTACTCCCGCATCATCCGGACCCTGCAGCACTGCAAGAACGAGAAGAAGAGCAAGGCGGTGAAGATGATCTTCGCCGTGGTGGTCCTCTTCCTGGGCTTCTGGACGCCCTACAACGTCACGCTCTTCCTGGACACGCTGGTGGAGCTGCAGGTGCTGCAGGGCTGCGCCGCGGAGAGGCGCCTGGCCTACGCCCTCCAGGCCACCGAGGCGCTGGCCTTCGTGCACTGCTGCCTGAACCCGGTCGTCTACTTCTTCCTGGGCGAGAAGTTCCGCAAGTACATCGCCCAGCTCTTCAAAGCCTGCCGCGGCGCCCCCGCGCTCTGCAAGCACTGCGGGCTCCTCCAGGGCTACTTCCCCGACGCCCCCAGCTCCTCGTTCACGCAGTCCACCCTGGACCACGAGCTGCGCGATGCCGCGCTGTAGACCACGGAAATGCAACAACAACAACAACAACAACAACAAAGAACAGAGTTAGCCGAAACCGGTTTGGTTCAGTGGAGAGAGTGTCGGCCCTGCGGACGGAAAAGTGTCCCGGGTTCGATTCCGGTCAAGGGCATGTACCTTGGTTGCGGGCGCATCCCCAGTCGGGGTTGTGCAGGAGGCAGCTGGTCGATGTGTCTCTCTCATCGGTGTTTCTAGCTCTCTATCCCTCTCCCTTCCTCTCTGTGGAAAATCAATAAAATATATATTTTTTAAAAAAAAGGATAGAGTTAGTCTTCTGCCCCAAGTTAAAAGTTTGCCTACCATTGTATCCTAGGAAGAGTTCCCCACGCGAGGGTGAAGGGAGAAGATGCACATCCACTGCAGAGCGTGGGGCTTCTCGCCCTGCGGCCCGCTGTCCTGCCGGTGCAAGGTCAATGCGGCCAGAGTTCATGTGCCCCCCCCGCCCCCCCCCCCCCCCGCCCAGGCGATCGGCGAGCCTGAGGATAATTCTGCGCAGCGTTTCAAAGAAACCCAATATGGGGAGCCATTTCTTCCCTTCTCACCTGGACAGATGGGGGTTCTCCTGAGGGGAGGGAAGGGAATTGACTGGTGGAGGAAATCGCTAGCTTCCTGCTGAGAAAAACGGGCTCTTGCATGAATTTCTAGCTTTTGCAGGAAAAATACAGAAAACTTTGACAGGCTGTGCCAGTGTTTTTTTTTTCCTAACAACATATTTGAAGCTAGGTATATGTGGAAATGAATAGCGATGTAATGAACGGATATCTTGGTTGTTTGAATGTAAAAGGATTGTTTGTAATGAAAGCCAAACTTTGTACGCTGATTCCAGGGAGGCGAGACGTAGAGGAAGGGATTAGCATGGTCTGACTTCCAAACATGAAATTCAAGGCAGTAAAAAAAAAATCCATGCATACTTGTGGAAATTCAAATGTTTTGGTTTCATTGTAACAGGTAAACATTCACTTAAAAAACAAACAAACACACAAAACAGTCCCTGATATTTTTATTTGCGATCTTGTACTTGTTTACAAACAGTGCCTTGAAAACTCAACAAGGACCACTGAAGTAGGGTGGTGCTTCCTTTGTCCTTTTGAAGTGACTGCCCGAGGCAAGAATGAATAGCCAACTAAAATTTAAAAATATATATATTTTATTGATTTTTTACAGAGAGGAAGAGAGAGGGATAGAGAGTTAGAAACATCGATGAGAAGAATCATCAATCAGCTGCCTCTTGCACACCCCCTACTGGGGATGTGCCGGCAACCAAGGTACATGCCCTTGACCGGAATCGAACCTGGGACCTTTCAGTCCGCAGTTCGACGCTCTATCCATTGAGCCAAATCGGTTTTGGCAGCCAACTAAAATTTATTGTTGATGTGACACAAAGAAATGACTGTCAAAAAACGAAATTTGGAAAAGTGTCATCCTCTCTTTTAAACTATTGGCCCTGGTTTCTTAACATTTTGCATGACTCAAAGGTTAAGCATCTCTTATGTCACCTTAACCCTGTCATTAGTCATTTCGCACCATGAGGAGAAATCTCTGTTCTAACAGCCTTAATTAACCACAATTACGAGTCTAGGACTATAACGGAGTCTGGGCATAGGGATAGTGTTCCAGAAACAAAAGCCTTATCTTGCAAACCATTCCCTGAACTACAGCAGTCCAAACCGCTTCTGCGAGTTGACCCGCTTTCACATGCTCTGCATCTAGAAAGAATGCATTTCTAGAAAGTTTACTTTCAGGGACGGGATTTGAAAAGGGGACGTGGATGTTGCCTTCGTGGAAGAAAAGGGAATAAAGTAAATGTGTGCATAGCCCCGCGGAGCCTCTTTTCCTGGTCACACGCGGGTTCGGTCTGCATGGATGAGGATCCTAGCTGCTGAGGTCAGTTGTCTTCCCCACATCAGCCACGTGCCCAAAATGATGTGGGTGTGTCCGGGGGAGGAGTCAGAGGGATTGTGTTCAGCTCTCGCCTGGGGGTGGGGCGTGGAGTTGCTCTCCTCTCCCACTGCACTTGGAGGTCAGGGTGGGTAAGAAGGGGGTGGGCCAGGTTCCTCGGTAGCACTTCCTTAGAAAACCTCCCCACGGCATGCGGGGATCTGCCACATCCCAGCTTCGCATTCCTTTGTGAGCCTGTGCACAGGACTTTCCTCTCAGCTCAGTTTCCTCTGAGCTATGAAGCCGGATATCGTTCAGAATGCCAGAAAGAAAGAAAGAGAGAGGGAGGAAGGGAGGGAGGGAGGGAGGGAGGGAGGGAGGGAGGGAGGGAGGGAGGGAGGGAGGGAAGAAGATGGTTGATGCAAAGCATCCATGTTCAGAATGCCAGAAAGGGAGGGAGGGAGGGAGGGAGAGAGGGTAGAAAGTAAAGAAGGAAGGGAGGGAGGGAAGGAGGAAGGAAGGAAAGGAGGGAAGAAGGAAGGAAGGAAGGAAGGAAGGAAGGAAGGAAGGAAGGAAGGAAGGAAAAAAGGGAGGGAGGGAGGGAGGGAGGGAGGGAGGGAGGGAGGAAGGAAGGAAGGAAGGAAGGAAGGAAGGAAGGAAGGAAGGAAGGAAGGAAGGGAGGAAGGAAGGAAGGAAAATGGTTGATGCTAAGCGCCCATGTTCCCGAGTTGTAGAAAAAGCTGGTCTTGGGTTAGCCCTCCCAGTGGCTGCCTCCCCTTTCCTGGCAGAGCTGGTGACACCCGTCATTCACTTAATCTCAGCTAGACGGAAATTTTGGGGACACCCAAAGACAGACTGGCCAGCGGGGCTTTACCGTCCCTTCATCCCCATCACATGCCGTGCTGGGCAAGGGCCGGAGGCAGACCTCACTGCTTCCAATCCTGGGGTGGGCTCATCCGTCACCTCCAGTCACTCAGGGCTTCCCCGTTCCAAAGCTGGGGGGTATTTCCTCGGGACGGGGCTGCAGCACCTCTAATGCCACCCAAACACGACCCTCTCGGAACACGGCCAAGGAGGTTCCTTCCCATTCAGTAGCAGAAACATGGAAAAGTAAGCCGGCATGATGTCTACACACAGGTGGGTTACGCCAGTAGTCTTTCAGACCTTAGATCCATGTCTTTCTTGTTGCTACAGGCCTTGCTTCAGGAAGACGAGGCATAACTTCTTGAAGAACAGTAAGAGCAGATTTGCTGTGGGGCTGATGGAAAGGTTTGGGGACCAGATAGAGGTGACAGCTGCACAACGTTGAGGTGAATGTGCTATATGCACGGAATTGTACTTATTTATTTTAAAATATGTTCTTATTGATCTGAGAGAGAGAGAGAGAGAGAGAGGAAGAGAAACATTGATTGGGGACCAAGCCTGCAATCCAAGTGACTGGGGAATCGAACCAGCAACTTTTTGGTGCATGGGATGCCATTCCAACCAACTGAACCACACCAGCCAGGGCTTGCACGTTTTCAAATAGTTAGTTTTATACTACGTGAATTTTACCTTAACGCCACCACTCACAACAATAAGAATAATAAGCGATTGCCCTAGCAGTATTGTCTCATAGTAAGCACTCAAATGATTTTGAGTAAATATCATCTGTTTTCCCCAAAAAATGTATACAATAGAATAATCCCGAAAAGAAAAAAAAAAAATCTGTTTCCCATGAGCAGGAGAAATAAAGGGTGATGCCAAAGGGTCTTCAGACCGTTAGGGAGATTTTTCCCTAAGAAACTCCTGTGGCAATTCGGGACATTTGGTGTAAGTATTTCAGATGTGTTGAGTACCTGTTTTGTGCCGAGCAGAGCAAGGCTTTGGAGAGAAAAATGGGGTAAAGGAGGGAGGAAGCTCTCCACTCACTGACTTTACAGCCTGATAAGGGAAAGCACAAACACAAGGTCCGCTCTTAAGCAAGCAGGGCAGATGGGATATAAGAATTGGGAACATAGCCGAAACCGGTTTGGCTCAGTGGTAGAGCGTCGGTCTGCGGACTGAAAGGTCCCAGGTTCGATTCCAGTCAGGGGCATGTACGTGGGTTGCGGGCACATCCCCGGTAGGGGGTATGCAGGAGGCAGCTGGTCAATGTTTCTCTCTCATTGATGTTTCTAGCTCTCTATTGCTCTCCCTTCTTTTCTGTAAAAAATCAATAAAATATATTAAAAAAAAGAAAAAAAGAATTGGGAACATGCTGTGGGAACCCACAGGAAGGAGAAATTGATTCAGTTTCAACTTTTATAATCCCATTATCTTCTGAAGTAGGCCTTGTTAGAGGAGCTTGATTTTTTTATTTTTATTTTAAATTGATTTTAGAGAGGAAGAGAGAGGGAGAGAGAGAAACTTAATGACAGAATCATGCAGTGGCTGCCTCCTGCATGCCCCACATCGGGGAATGAGCCTGCAACCCTAGCATGTGCCCCAACCGGGAATCAACTGGGAATTGAACCGTGACTTCCTGGTTTATAGATTGATGTTCAAGCACTGAGTCACACCTGCTGAGCTTTTTATTTTTAATCTTAATTTTTTTAAAAAAAAGATATATTTTATTGATTTTTTACAGAGAGGAAGAGAGAGGGATAGAGAGTTAGAAACATCGGTGAGAGAGAGTCACTGATCACCTGCCTCTTGCGCACCCCACACTGGGGCTGTGCCCGCAACCAACGTACATGCCCTTTGACTGGAATCGAACCTGGAACCCTTCAGTCCACAGGCAGACGCTCTATCCATGAGCCAAACCGGTCTCGGCTAATCTTACATTTTTTAAAATACATTTTTATTGATTTTGGAGAGGGAGTGAGAAACACCAATGATTAGAGAGAATCATTGGTCGGCTGCCTCCTGCACATCCCCCACTGGGGATCAAGCCCACAATCCAGGCATGTACCCTTTACTGGAATCGAATCGGGGACTCCTCAGTCCATAGGCCGATGCTCTATCCTGTGAGCCAAACCAGCCAGGGCTTTTTCCTTTTTTTTTTTTTTTTTTTTTTAGAGAGAGAGAGAGAGTGGGAGGGAGGGGGAGAGACAGAAAGAAACATCTATGTGAGAAAGAAA